ATTTTTATGCATCAAAATAGAGTCATAAAACTGAGTTATGATATGCAATGAAATGAATATGACTGAGTATGAGTTTTAAATTTAACACAATAATTCATATCAATATGACCTCTGTGGGTCCCAATAATACTGGCACATAGCCTCAACAGGATTTGTAATATGCTTTTCCGCTCAATTTCTTTAACACATAAAACCGCATGGAAAATACCAAGGTTATTTAACTATAAAATTCCACATAAACAATTATGTCACAATTTCTATAGTGCACGCCCACACGCCCGTCACCTAGCATGTGCGTCACCTCCCAACAATTCACAAAATACATATATTCAGGGTTCATACCCTCAACTCCAAGATTAGAAGAGTTACTTACCTCAATCCAAGCAAATTCTTTAATCCAATAAACCTTTTTCTCGTGATTCGGCCTCCGAACGCCTCGAATCTTAGTCAAAATAATTTAATACAATCAACACGAGGTATAGAAATCAATTCCATATGAAAATGCTAATTTTCCATAAAAATCCGAAATTTAGTTCAAAACTTGCCCGTGGGGCCCACGTCTCAGAACCCGACAAAAGTTACAAAATCCGAACATCCGTTCCGATACGATTCCAACCATACAAAAATTATCAAATTCCGACATCGGATTGACCTTCAAATCTTCATTTTATATTTTTGGAAGATTTTATAAAAATCTGATTTTTCTTCCATAAATTCATGGATTCATGATGTAAATGAGTATGGAATCATGAAATATAATCAATATAGGATAAGGAACACTTACCCCAATGTTTTCCCGTGAAAATCGCCCAGATATCGCCTAAATCGAGCTCCATAAACTCAAAAATGAGTAAAAATGGCAAGAACCCCGTTTTATAGTCCCTCAGTTGTTTCGGGCGTCACAGGTAGCGTGGGGCGCTGCCTGTGGCGCAGTTTCCAGTATCCCAAAATTCCCAGCGCTAGGGCTAGCGCCCAACGCTACCCTGGGCGCTCGCAGCGATGGAAAAATTGTTCCAGACACGAAAATAGGCATAACTCTCTCATACGATGTCCGAATTCAATGATTCTTTTTGCTATGGCTCCGTAATTTCAATATGGATCTAATACTTCCATAAAAACTGAATTTGGAGCTCATTTGCGTAATGTGATACCACATATTCTTAAAGAATCGACATCGAACATTTTAGGTTCAATGCCGAAACATAGCAAATCAATCCGGAATGAACTCAAATTTTGCGTACAAGTCATAAATGGAATAACAAAGCTGTTTCAATTTCAAAAATATGATTCCGACCTCGATATCAAAAAGTGAAACCCCGGTCAACCTTCCCAAAAATTTAACTTTCGGCATTTCAAGCCTAATTCCACTACGGACCTCCAAATAAGTTTTCGGACACGCTCCTAAGTCCAAAATCACCATGCGGAGCTATTGGAATCATCAGAATTTAATTTCGAGGTCATTTACACATAAGTCGATATCTGGTCACTATTTTAACTTAAGCTTTAAGCCTTTTGGAACTAAGTGTTCCAATTCATTCCAAAACCTCACCGGACCCGAACCATTTTCCCCGGCAAGTCACACAACAACTTTAAAGCCCAATTTTAGCAGTAATGGGAGAAACAAGGTTGTAATACTCAAAACGACCGGTCGGGTCGTTACATAATCGGTCTTGCATGTCTTTTCTTTGCCTTATTATTGGAACAAAACTAGATCAAAAGTGATTCAAAAAAAAAATTCAATTGTACAGGTGAATAAACAATTGAAGAAAAGAAAGAGTTTAAATGAGAGGTGTCCCTTTTGGGGAAAGGAAAGAAGGACTTATCTGGGAGTACATACGGACTTCAATGAACATGATATGCCTTTTGTACTTAATTCCCGATCCGTGTAAACTGTCCAACTCTTGGAAACTCATCACAACTTTTATCTTGAAACCGAGAAACCTTGCGCACGACTGTGTTGATGCCATTGTGTTGTGGATCCTCTTTCCGATCAGTAATGACCTTT